CAGAGCAGGGACCCCCGGTTCCCGGTTCAGAGGCAGGCCCCTACCCAGGAGTTTCATGACGTGGGGGTGGTCGAAGTCCTTCATGCAGACGGCCTCGCTCAGGAAATCCTCCATCTCGCTGCGGGTGCAGATGGCGACTGCGGGCACAGAGGGGGTGAGGCTGGAGCCGCCAGGGGAGGCAGCGGGGGCAGGAGGGGCCTTGGGGGCAGGGCAGAGGAGGCCCCCGGCGCCCGCGGGACACTTACTCTTCATGGTCTTGATGGCCACCTTGCGGACGCAGTCGTCCTGCTTGAGCTGCCCTTCCACCACCGAGCCAAACTCCCCTGCGGAAGCCGGAGGCAGAGGGGCTGAGAGGCCTGGTGTGCGGGTGCTTGGACACACAGCACAGCCAGGGCCAGGGCAGCCAGCAGGGGGCAGCAGCATGCGCACACAGTGCAAACACACACACTAGTGCTCGCTCACAGCAGCGCACACACACACCAGTGCGCACACACAGTGCAAACACACACACTAGTGCTCGCTCACAGCAGCGCACACACACACCAGTGCGCACACACAGTGCAAACACACACACTAGTGCTCGCTCACAGCAGCGCACACACACACCAGTGCGCGTACACAGTGCAAACACACACACACTAGTGCTCGCTCACAGCAGCGCACACACACACCAGTGCGCACACACAGTGCAAACACACACACTAGTGCTCACTCACGGCAGCGCACACACACACCAGTGCGCACACACAGTGCAAACACACACACTAGTGCTCGCTCACAGCAGCGCACACACACACCAGTGCGCACACACAGTGCAAACACACACACTAGTGCTCACTCACGGCAGCTCTCAAACACACCAGTGCGCGCACACAGTGCAAACACACACACCAGTGCGCACACACGGCAGCTCTCACACACACCAGTGCGCGTACACAGTGCAAACACACACACCAGTGCGCACTCACAGCAGCTCACACACACACCAGTGCGCGTACACAGTGCAAACACACACACACTAGTGCTCGCTCACAGCAGCGCACACACACACCAGTGCGCGCACACAGTGCACACACACACACACTAGTGCTCGCTCACAGCAGCGCACACACACACCAGTGCGCGCACACACAGTGCAAACACACACACTAGTGCTCGCTCACAGCAGCGCACACACACACCAGTGCGCACACACAGTGCAAACACACACACCAGTGCGCACTCACAGCAGCTCTCAAACACACCAGTGCGCGCACACAGTGCAAACACACACACTAGTGCTTGCTCACAGCAGCGCACACCCACACCAGTACGCGCACACAGTGCAAACACACACACCCATGTACACACACAGAGCACACACACACTCACACACACGCGTGTACACACACAGAGCACACACACACACACACACACGTACACACACACACACACACTCACACACACACACACTCACACACACACGGAGGTTATTACCTTCGTTGGCAAGCTCCCAGCACCCCGGTTGCTCCCAGCGCCCCCTGCTGGCTCAGTAGCGGTGGCTACACCTCCCCCCCCAGCCTGGTGTTGACTCTGGAGCCTGAGTCGTGGGCAGATTGGAGGGTGGCCTGTGCCCAAGCCCCCCGGGGCAGATCAGGGCCATGGCAGGGTCACGGC